GCTGGGATTACAGGCGTGAGCCACCATGCCCAGCCTATTGTTAACATCTTTATCCAGAATGTTTGCTTTATTTCCAGTTGCTCAGGTTGCTATAAACTATAAATAGTTTATCTATTGTGTGAATTATTTGACAATAAATGGATTCAATGTGCATGTGAAAATGATTGCTTTTAACATGCTTTTGGTAGCATTAACCAAATGCTTGGAATCATATTCTTTTTCTGGTCCCTGGCATGAGGTATTCAGAACATTTCAATAGTCTTCCTATTGCTGATTACTTTTTAAAATATCATTTCAGAATTGTCTCATTAATGGCAGAAATACATCCTAATTCAGTTACGGTACCAGCCTGAGTCTTGAAAATAAAACCTCATAGTTGAATGTAAACTTCCAATTAAATGGGTCTTAATTCTTCACCATTAGACTTTGAACCATTGTTCATGTTGGTGCCAAAGAATAAAAAGAGACTGATTTCCTACTTTAAGATCGGAATATACACACACACTATACTGGAAAGTGAGGAGAGATGACTACTTCATATTTCCTTTTGAAGTTAGGAATAACATAGCTGAAACTTTTGGACAGCAAGTATGGCAGACTGTAAGAATATTATGTGATTTGATTTTAAGCTTTCAGTAGTGGTGTGTTTCATTAAGCCTGTGACAGGAAAAATAAATGAGTAATAGATGACTGATGTGTTCTGGCTGCTGTGATAATGATAATACCCTCTATTACTGAATCTGTCTAACCAACCAGTTATTTTTCTGTTTTCTGCAATTAAAGACCATCATGTTTTCTGGCAATGTAGGAATTTCTGTTCAGTTAAAGTACACATTGTCACTGAAGTAAAAATAATAAAATTGAATTTACTTTAGCTTTATTACTAAAATCCCCCAAAACTCAAATCTAAGATCATTTAAAATATCTTATAAAATAACTGAAATTCATTAAAATATTAAAACTCAGCTTTGATAGTTTTGAATATAGGTTTTTGGTCTTTAAATTTTGACCTGAGGGGGGAAAAAATTTTTTTTGACCTGAGATATAAATGATAGTGGTAGCACATCTAGCCATTCACCTTGTAGCCAGCCTCCAAGATGACCCCCAATGATCCCTACCTCCTGATAGTCACGCCCTTGGGTAGTCTGCCCCCACATTTACCAGGGTTGGTCTGTGTGACCGATAGAATACCTCAGAAATGATGATGTGTCACTTCCAAGATTAGGTTATAAAAGACATTGGGACTTCCATCTTAGTCTCTGTCTCTTTTAGGGGTCTGGGGATTACTTGCTCTGTTGGAAGCTGGCACTTGTAAGGAGCCAAGGCCTATGCCAACAGTCATGTGAGTAAGCAAGCATGGAAGTGGGTCCACCAGTCACAGTCATGGCTTCAGATGGATACAGCCCTGACCAACAGTTTGATTGCAACCTCATGACACCCTGAGCCAGAACCACCCAGCTAAGCCACTCCCAGATTCCTGACCCTCCAAACTGTGAATTTTTTTTTAATGTTTATTATTAAGGCTGCTAACTTTGGGGGTGATTGGTATGCAGGAATAGATAATCATTACACACTCCCATTAAATCTCTTCATTCTTCAAATCTTAATATCTGTTTTGGAGTTTCATTATTATTTATACTGTTAAACTTGTAATCCCTATACTTCACCTGACTAACTCATTAATTGATAAATACTATGTTCTGCCTTCCATTTTTGAATCCAGTGTTTGATATAATAAATACAGACTTTGAATTCACCTTTTCTATATTTGACCCCATATTAGAATGTACTTAAGAGAATTGCTCTCTGACAAGGAGCCTTCTTCAGATTATTCCACAGATCCTTTTCCTTTACAGGCAAAACCATCTATAATATACAACTTGCAATTACTATGCAAGTGATTATGAAATTACTATGAAGTACTACAAGAGAAAACAGACAGCCAAACAACTGTTCTCAGACTGAGACCTCACCAAAGAAGCTCTTTGTCTGCTACTCATAACTCTGTGGTGCTTATTAATTACACAGGGTAATCACAGTGTGGGTTTTAAAAGTCATATTTTTGGGATTAGTTAACTATATAGTACTCAAACCAGAGAGACAGCTTCTCAGCAGATCTGATGTCAAGGTCATGAATTGTAGTCCCAGCTCCTGTTCTTCCATCCTACTTTCTCTGTGGTACTATAAAAAGGAAAAGGTTGTTAAAAATATTTGGGTTTACTTTTTCTATTTCCTTTTTGTCCTACTAAATCAACAGTGCCAATAATTATTCCTTTACCATTACTAACCATACTGAAATGGCTATCATGAATAAGAAATGTGACCATTAGAAAAGTAGTATTTCAGCTGTATAAAGGAATTTTTTTTCTTTTGCTTCTTTGTCGAAGCTCTTTTATTTTTCTAAAAATGGCCTAAAAATGACTTAGGACATCAGTAGCTACAGATACTTTGACTGGACCCCAGCTCACACCTGCAATCCCAGCACTTTGGCAGGCCGTGGGAGAAGGATTGCTTGAGCCCAGAAGTTTGAGACCAGCCTGGGCAACGTAATGAAACATGTCACTACCGGAAAAAAAAAAAAGTGGAAAAAAAAAAACCACAGTTGGGTGAGGTGTTACGTGCCTGTAGTCCCAGCTACTCAGGACGCTGAGGTGGAAAGAAGTGTCACTTGAGCCCAGGAGGTCGAGGCTGCAGTGAGCTGAGATCACATCACTGCACTGCAGCCTGGTTGACAGAACCAGACCCTGTCTCAAAACATAATAATAATAATAATAATAATAATAATAATAATAAATTGAGTTATAGGTAATCAATTTTAGATTTTTATAGCTGAATTTAAAGAAACATGGTAAAAGGGAAATATTGATGAGTCCCATGTTGTTTGGCACTGTTGCTTTTAACATATAACTAGCTTTTTGGTTTTGCTTTCACTGTGTTTTTTTAATTTATTTATTGGAACAGGTTCTCCTTCTGCTGACCAGGCTGGAATGCAGTGGTGTAATCAGAGCTCATAGCAGCCTAGATGGGGCTCAAGTAATCCTCCAGCCTCAGCCTCCCAAGTAGTTAGGGCTCCAGGCACATGCCATCATGCCCAGCTAATTTTTTTTATTTTTTGTAGAGACAGGGTCTCTCTATTTTGCCCAGCTTGGTCTTAAACGCCTGGGCTCAAGTGATGGTCCTGCCTCTGCCTCCGAAAGTGCTGGGATTACAGATGTGAGCCACTGTGCCTGGCCATTCACCATGTTTTAAAATAAGAATGGCTACTTCAGGAGTTGATCTTTTCTTTCTGCATTCTAAATGGACTACAGGTTATTTTGAAATTTTACTGAGAATTTCCTTTTTAACTTGGAGCTGCAAAAAGTAGGGTTTTGTCTTAGACTCTGTGTTGTAGACCTCCCCCACTTTAATTCACACACACACACACACACACACACACACACACACACACACACACAATAAGGCTAGAAAGATGGTTATTAGTAACGTAAAGAAATGGATTTCTCTCTTCAAATGTTCAGTATCCAAATACTCCAATAATGTCATGACATAAGATGGCTGTAGTCGAGCCAGAAGTAAAACCCAGAACTTCCAACTGCTTTGAACATTTGCCAGCTGATAACAACACAAAATTTTACCATAAGGCTAAGTGATTCCTGGGGCTTAAATTGGATAGTCAGTGAAGAAGAAGGCATCCAATTTCCAGCACTGAAACACTTCTGTGTTAAAGAAACCCTATGTTTGCTTTATTTTCTTAAAGGTTCCTTTAAATTAAAGCATAGCCATTAAATTGTGGATTTCCCTTTCTTTTTAAACAGGCTCCTATTTGTGGATGGCAGTGCTAAGAAAACATAACTACTGATTAAATAGTTTTTTAAAAATGATAAATAACAGTGTTTTCATAACTAGATTTCATTTGAAAGCTTAAATTAGTACTTTGCTGTGATTTTTTAGTTTCTTCAACCCTGTGTTAACGCTTCATTTTTCATTGTAAAATATCTCAAGAAACTTAAATATCTGTGTAATAAGTAAAAAGTAATGTGCATGTAATGTATGATGCTCATAAGGAGTTCTTCAAGCTCTTCCTACAGAGATGAGGAAAGATGGAAGCCTAGGAATATCTTTCCACCCACCTCCTGCTCTTTATACTCCCAACTTGGTACTGAGAGCTAAAGCCCTTGTCCAGACAACAAGCACCAGTTTGCATCCCCTTCTTACATGCTCATCCCCGAGGCTCATCAAGCCTGGAAAGAGGCAGAAAAGATAATGGAAAGTAACAACCAAACAGAGACAAGAGGAGGTAGAATTTGGCAGCAGGTGGAAAAGATTTTGTCTGCATTTCTGGTCATGAGGTGCTTCCGTCCTCTTGACCCATCAACAGCTAAGTGAAGGTTCATATGCATAGATCACAAGTAGTCCTAGATTGTAATGTGATCCTGCTTATATTCTGCACCCTTCATAAATCTGCTGGCATTTTGTTAGGTCTCTAAATATACTCATAAAATTATCATGCTTAACATATTGGAAATGCTAATGCCATAACAGAAAAAAAGCAAAATGTACCTGCTGGTAATGTAAACATTCATCAGAGACAATAAGCACAGAGGCTAAGGACACAGACTCTGAAGTCAGGCTGCCTGGGTTTAAATCCCAATTCTGACAGCTGGCTAGATGAGTAACCAGGAATAGTTTTCTCATCAGCAAAATTGAGATGATAGCACTACCTTACAGTGTTGTCAATTTTAAACAAGCTAATATGACTATAAATATTTAGAACAATGTCTAATACATAGCTAGCACTTTATAAGTATTTGTTGTTGTTAATATACCATGCCACCTTTCTGGTGCTGTTTCTGCATTTAAATGGCTCAATCTGAATTGTAATTAGCAGGCTACGTTTATACTAATACCACAATCTTCAATGTATAACCACTGAATAGTAAACCTCCCTCCCTGGTAGTTTTAAAAAGCAAGATGCTTATTTTTTTCCCCTTCTTTTCCAGGCCCAACACAGAGATACTTTTATTGAAGAACGCTATGGAAAATATAATATTAGTGATCCTTTAATGGCTCTACAAAGAGATTTTGAAACACTGAAAGAGAAAAATGATGGCGAAAAGCAGCCCGTCTGCACAAACCCACTCTCTATTCTAAAGGTGGTGATGAAACAGTGCAAGAACATGCAGGAGCGCATGCTGTCCCAGCTGGCTGCTGCTGAGAGCAGGCACCGAAAGGTAGGCTCACCTCAGTTGATGTGTAAATCTTAGTAAATTGTGCCTGATACTTTCTTGTCAGCTGTTGGTTTTTCACAGTAATTGGGACATCTCACAGGTATCAAAAAGCCCTTTAGCTTATGTAAGAATCAGGAGAAAAGAAAAAACAGCTTACTCCAAATGTTAAGTTTAGAGAATGTGCCAGACACATTATTTAAGATGGCATTCCTTCTTGATATGTCACTCCAAAACACTTTGTATGTTTTTTCAGCTCTTGATCATTCAAACTTTGGCTACAAACCGGTTTGGCCAAGCTTGTAGCTGAAGGGAGTGTTCTCTATTTGCTTACTTAAGTGATAAATAGAAAGATGAACAGGTATTTGAGTCATACTATGTCCAAGGGAGAAAAAGAGAATTTACCTGAGGATAAATACATAAGCCAATAGCTTATTTTCATTTATTCCTGTTATTCCTAGTTTTGAGTTTCATTGCATTTTATTGCTCATGAAACCATAAACAGTCCCTAGGTTTATTTACCTTAAAGCTGTTCTACTCTATTAGTAAAGTAAGTGTGTGTGTGTGTGTGTGTGTGTGTGTGTGTGTGTGTGTGTGTGTTTCCATTTCTAACAAGCCCTAAGAAGGCATACCTGTCCTTTCCTCTGCTTCATCTTACTGGAATTGTAGTGCTTGTGAATTTATTCACCAGCTTGTCATCTTGTCATTTACTGCTCAAATTTGGCCTATAAAAGATGCTTGGCTAGAATCTTCATTTTTAAAAAACTTATCAGTTCAGATTTATGCCAACAAGGGAGGTATTAGTGCATTTGGTAGGAAACATTTTCATCTGGAAAATTGGGTTAGCAGCTGCAAAATTTGGTGGACCTTACTTTTATGGTTACCAGCCTTAGAGCCATCTGCTTAAATTGCATCTGATAAATTTCCTAGGCTCTGGGTCTTGCCCATGATCTTTTCTTTCCCTTCACAGAAGCCAAATGAAAGGCCAGAGTGGAACTGCTTAACGATGGATAGGCCTCAGATGTTCCACAATCCCCCAGAAAATATACAGAATGTCCAAAGTTTATGCATTTTTGTGGGAAATGTATTTTTTCCATAGCTTTAATCATCAGATTCTCCAAGTTACCCAAGACCCAAAAAAGTTTTTTAGTTTTTGTGTGTGTGTGTGTTTGGTTTGTTTTAAGACGGAGTCTCACTCTGTCGCCAGGCTGGAGTGCAGTGGCGCAATCTCAGCTCACTGCAACCTCCACCTCCCTGGTTCAAGCAATTATTCATCCTCAGCCTCCTGAGCAGCTGGGACTACAGGCACACACCAGCATGCCCAGCTAATTTTTGTATTTTTAGTAGAGATGGGGTTTCACCGTGTTGGCCAGGATGGTCTTGATCTCTTGACCTTGTGATCTGCCTGCCTCAGCCTCCCAAAGTGCTGGAATTACAGGCATGAGCCACTGCGCCCAGTCCCCAAAAAAGTTTAACCTCTGGTTAGAATGAAGTAATCTGGGAACATTTACACTCCAGTTTAAAAGGTATCAAGGCTGGGCGCCGTGGCTCAAGCCTGTAATCCCAGCACTTTGGGAGGCCAAGGTGGGTGGATCACGAGGTCAAGAGATCGAGACCATCCTGGTCAACATGGTGAAACCCCGTCTCTACTAAAAATACAAAAAATTAGCTGGGCATGGTGGCGCGTGCCTGTAATCCCAGCGACTCAGGAGGCTGAGGCAGGAGAATTGCCTGAACCCAGGAGGCGGAGGTTGCGGTGAGCGGAGATCGCGCCATTGCACCCCAGCCTGGGTAACATGAGTGAAACTCCGTCTCAAAAAAAAAAAAAAAAAAAAGGTATCAATGGGTAGAAGATAGTTGCCTAAATTGGGGTGGGGGGGGGGCTTTTACATAATACTCTAAGAAAATCCTCACAGCATTTTTTTGTTTAATAGGCAGGCTTTATTTCCATTTCATTCATGAAGTGACTGACTTGTGTTGAAGGGAGGTTGGCTAGCAACCTCCCTTCATGTCATGGAAGGTGTACTAGGGACAGTTTGTGGCTCTAGGTGATTGGAGAAAGGAAGAAGTTAAAAATAATTCAAAATTTCTTAATACTGTATTGCAATGCCAAATGTTTTAAGGGAATGTTAAATTTTGAAATTCTTTTTTCCTTTTTTGGGATGGAGTCTCACTCTGTCACCCAGGCTGGAGTGCAGTGGTGCAATCTCGGCTCACTGCAACCACCACCTCCTGGGTTCAAGCTTAAGTGGTTTATCAAAGTAGATCACTGACTTTGTTAGAAATCAGCACCTAGAGGCTTATGATTACGGTGCTGATAGTCTCAGCTTATGCCTATCACCTTGGCTTAGTTATTAACCATATTCCCTTTGACTGTCAGAAGTGTTCTGGTTTGAATAGTAAATTACATGGTCATTGTGCTTACAATGAAAAACAAGTTTCCTATTCTACATCTTCTCATTTCCCATCCTCCCCAGTATTCACAGGCATCCACTTTTTTCTTTTAGCCATTCTCTTTGGTAGCTAACCTCCATATTTCTGAATACTGCACTGTTCTCTCTTACTTTATCAATTTTAGACATTTATATTATATTCTTTATACAGGTACAGATTTCGGCATCTTATACCCCACCTCCCTTTCCTGTCCTTAACCCTTACCCAGAACAAATTTAATCCTGTTTTCCTACCACCATTCCCTGTCACATTTAGTATTCCCAGATCCTGAGCCTGTCATACTCTTTCTTGTGACAGGTTCAGGATTTGGGAATACTAGATGTGACAGGTGCCAGATGCTGATGGTCCATGTGCAGGAATCAGGGTGAGGTGACAAATGATTCTGAAAATAACAGGCTTTGAAGGTCTGGCACAGTGCCTCACCCTGTAATCCCAGCACTTTGGGAAGCCGAGACAAGCGGATCACTTGAGGTCAGGAGTTCAAGGCCAGGCCAACCAACATGGTGAAACCCTGTTTCTGCTAAAAATACAAAAATTAGCCGACCGCGGTGGCGCACCTGTAATCCCAGCTACTCAGGAGCCTGAGGCAGGAGAATCGCTTGAGCCCAGGAGGTGGAGGATGCAGTGAGCTGAAATTGTGCCACTGTATTGCAGCTTGGGTGACAGAGCAAGAGTCTGTCTCAAAAAAAAAAAAAAAAAAAAAAAAAAAAACAGGCTTTGAGCCAGCTCTCCTGTTTTCTATTCTACATTTCACCTCTCCTCTCCAGTACCTACCACCTGCAGGTTCCATCTCTTTGGAGCTCTGCAGGGCAAAACAGCTTCCCTCCTTCATACTAAAGTAGTTACCACTCCTTCAGCCTCTTTTCTTCTTCAAAATATGATTAAAATTTCTTCTCTGCTGGAGGCTCTCTCCTTTGTCTTTGTGGGATTTTAGTCTTTTTATTCAGTTTCTGTAATTTTAGAGGACTCCCAAAAGGAAGAAGATACAACTTACCACTTTTGGCCAAAAGCATGTCTTTCATTAAATTGAAAAATTAGATTTAAAAAAAAGGCAATCCACGAGTTTTTTTTTTTTCCTTGCCTTTATTTTGAGAGACAGGGTCTTGCTACGTTGCCTGGGCCTGGAGTACAGTGGCTGTTGACAGGCGCAATCATAGCACCCTATAGCCTGGAACTCTTGGGCTCAAGTGACCCACCTCAGCCTCCCAGCTATCTGGGACTACAGGCACACACCACAGCACCAGTCTTTTTTGTTTGTTTTTGAGACAAGGTCTCACTCTGCACCCAGGCTGGGGTGCGACGGCATAATCGTGGCTCACCGCAACCTCCACCTCCCTGGGCTCAGGTGATCCTCCCACCTCTGCCTCTTGAGTAACTGGGACTACTGGCACATCTCACCAAGCCTGGCTAATTTTTGTGTTTTTTGGTAGAAATGGGGTTTTGAGTTGGGCACAGTCGGTTATACCTGTAATCCCATCACTTTGGGAAGCTGAGGCAGAAGGATCGCTTGAGTCCAGGTGATTGAGACTAGCCTGAACAACATGGCAAAACCCAATCTCTACAAAAAATCAGCAGGGCATAGTGTTGTGTGTCTGTAGTCCCAGCTGCTCGGGAGGCTAAGGTGGGAGGATCACGTGAGCCTGGGAGGCAAAGATTGCAGTGAGCTGAGATGATGCCACTGCACTTCAGCTTGGGTGACAGAGTAAGACCCTGTCTCCCTAGAAAAGGGAGGGAGGGAGGGAGGGAGTGAAAAAGAAATAGAAGAAGGAGGAAAAGAAAGTAAGTAATGGCTGGTCTCAAACTCCTGGGCTCAAGCAATATTCCTGCCTCTATCTCCCAGAAGTGCTGGGATCGTTGTCATGAGCTCATTTTTATTTTTATGGGGAGGTTTCATGTCCCAGAAGATTTTCTGTCTTCATTCATAAAAATTATAGTGAGAAGACTAAGACATGGCCTTTGGGACGACAGTGCCCTACCCTGGAAGTCTGGGCCAAGACACCTCTGAAGCATGAGCAGAAACTACTAAGAATTCTATTGCCGGTCAGAATATTTGCAGTTGTAGATGATATTATGTGAAAAATGTCCCTTTAATTTGTGTTCTCGGTCATGTGTGATGGCTCACACCTGTAATCCCAGCATTTTGGGAGGCTGAGGTGAGTGGATCACATGAACCTAGGAGTTCGAGACTAGCCTGGGCAAGATGGCAAAACCCCATCTGTACAAAAAATACTAAAATTAGCTGGGCATGGTGGCACACACCTATAGTCCCAACTACTCAGGAGGCTGAGAGATGGGAGAATCACTTGAGTTAGGGAGGTCGAGGCAGCAGTGAGCCATGATTACACAACTGCATTCCAGCCTGGGCGACAAAGCAAGACCCTGTCTCAAAAAATAAATAAATATGTCTTCTCCTTAAAATAGGGCTTAATCCTTTGACACCAGGAGAAGTGGAATAGGGGTAGGCAAATAAAAGACCTTGTGAAAAATCTCCATTTAAGGTCTGTATAATTGAACCTTTTCACATGCAGGATGAAGTCAAGAGAGTTTTCACCTCTTATCTAACTATATAAAAACTTGTATTATTAGTGAAACAAGGCACACTTAGAATGCACCTTTTTGAAATGTTGAATTTCAGGCTCCTCCTTTGGTGCTTCCAGTGATTTCAGCATTGAGAGGAAAACCTCAGCTTTCGGGTTTCTGTGGTCCTGTCTTGCTCCATCACCTACACCTGACCCCTAGTAACACCAAACTGCCTGCAGTTTCTAGGAATTTCTGCTAATTCTCGAAACTGCCTCAACCCCTCTAGCTATTAGTTGCTCTCTTCTGTTTGCATATAATTCTTTACATACTTCAAGTAAAGTAAAGATCTTACTGTTTTCTAACACAGAGGTTTCATGGCTGTCACTGTAAGGCAGTGTGCTCCTTGGTAGGCCTTGCTGGGTTTCATTTATTTATTTGTTTGTTTGATCTCTGGAACTATTGTTAAGTGCCTGGTTTGGCACTTAGTATTGGCTGTATTAATAAATGCAACTCTTTGATATTTGGAAATGAATTTTTAAAAATTCTTTAAAGGTGATCCTAGACCTTGAGGAAGAAAGGCAGAGGCATGCACAGGATACAGCTGAAGGAGATGATGTCACCTACATGCTAGAGAAGGAAAGAGAGAGGCTGACTCAACAGGTAATTAAGGTAGAGGGATTCACGGTAGCATTTGCCTAGAATAGTGTTTCCCAAAAATTACTCTGCAGGAAAGCAATTGTTATTGTTCAAAAAGGGGCTTTGTGGTCAAATAAGTTCGGGAACTACTGGATTAAACAAAGTTAAACAGGATTCTAACTTTAAATTTGTTAGGATCTTTAGTATGCAGAAGCACATTGTGAGTCTTCAAGAACAAAATAGGGTTCTGTGTTTAGCAAATCTGTGGTTTTATAAAATCTTTTATTGATATAGATCCCTCACTGTAAGACTAGGACACACATTGGGGAATGGTAAAAGTTTGTAGCTCTCAAACTTTTCTTGATTTAGAAACCCCGTAAGAAATGACATGTCACAATCCAGTATAAACACACACAGTTATGCCTAAAACGAAAATCTCATGAAATCATATATAACCCCTACTGTCTACATATTGATGGTTTCTATTTTTTTTTTTTTTTAATTCTAGTCATGGCTCACTAAATTGTTTCCCCATCCATTAATGGATCTCAGAGTTTGAAAAACACTGAGTTTCTTCAACCCTTTCCCTTTCACACAGAGTCTCTGCCTCAAATAGGGTTGGGTAGACAATTAAAACAGACGGTATTTGTGTAAAAAGTATGATTCAAATGCAACTATTTGTGTTTGTTTTTAAGACCTGAGAAAATGATTGCTGAAACTTTAAAAGGCTTGCTTTCAGCAGCGGCGTTCATCACAAATCTGGTTGATCCGGCTTTCTGTTACCTTGTTTTGATTGGTTCTGATGCTGTGTACTCTCCACATACATGAAACACAAAGATACATCATAGTCCCACTAATCACTGCAAGACACTACAGGAACTAGAAGAGCCTCACAAATCATCAGAGAAAGATAAATCATAGTGTGTGCTTTTTTGTGCTAGGAGTTCCAAAACTTCAGAAATACTTGATCTAAGCACTGTGACATGCGTATTAATCCTATATACCAGAGAACAGCTAACAGAGACACTCTATTTGATCATACTTTTTGAGTAGATCTCTTATTCTAATCAATATTTGTGGTGGCATTTTTTTTTTCTAGCTGGAATTTGAAAAGTCCCAAGTGAAAAAGTTTGAAAAAGAACAGAAGAAGCTCTCTAGTCAGCTGGAAGAGGAGCGCTCCCGCCACAAGCAGCTCTCATCCATGCTTGTGCTTGAGTGCAAGAAAGCCACCAACAAGGCAGCCGAGGAAGGGCAGAAGGCAGGAGAGCTGAGCCTGAAATTGGAGAAGGAGAAGAGCCGAGTGAGTAAACTGGAAGAAGAGTTGGCAGCTGAGAGAAAGCGAGGCTTGCAGACTGAGGCCCAGGTGGAGAAGCAGTTGTCAGAGTTTGACATTGAAAGGGAGCAACTGAGAGCAAAACTGAACCGAGAAGAGAACCGGACCAAAACTCTGAAAGAAGAAATGGAAAGTCTGAAGAAGATAGTGAAGGACCTAGAGGCCACCCACCAGCACAGTAGCCCTAATGAGCAATTGAAGAAACCAGTAACCATGTCCAAAGGCACAGCAACTGAGCCTCTCGTGCTAATGTCTGTGTTTTGCCAAACAGAGAGTTTTCCAGCAGAAAGAACCCATGGAAGCAGCATAGCCAAGATGACAAACACTGGGCTGCCTGGTCCCACCTCTCCTCCCTTCTCATATGCAAAAACCAATGGCCATTTTGACCCAGAGACACAAACTACCAGGGAGCTGACTGCAGGCAACAATGTAGAAAACCAAGGGCCTCCACGGGAAAAATCTGTGGCATTGGCCCAAGAGAAACCAGTGGAGAATGGTGGGTGTCCTGTGGGGATTGAGATGCCAGCCCCAGTGCCCAGCCCCCTCCATTCCAGTGGGAGCTCCCTGTCTCCCAGCAGCACTGCTTCCTCCTCTTTAACCTCCTCTCCTTGTTCTTCACCGGTACTCACTAAGCGTTTATTGGGGTCATCAGCTAGCAGCCCTGGCTACCAGTCATCCTACCAAGTAGGCATCAACCAGCGGTTCCATGCAGCTCGGCACAAATTTCAGTCCCAAGCAGATCAGGACCAACAAGCCAGTGGCCTACAAAGCCCTCCGTCCAGGGATTTATCCCCCACCCTCATAGACAACTCTGCCGCCAAGCAGCTGGCCCGAAACACAGTCACTCAGGTGCTCTCCAGATTCACTAGCCAACAAGGGCCAATCAAGCCAGTCTCTCCCAACAGCTCTCCGTTTGGCACAGACTATCGAAATCTGGCCAACACTGCCAATCCAAGAGGTGACACAAGCCATTCACCTACTCCAGGGAAAGTGTCCAGTCCCCTGAGCCCCCTATCTCCAGGAATCAAGTCCCCAACCATCCCCAGAGCTGAGAGAGGAAACCCTCCACCCATCCCACCCAAAAAACCTGGCCTCACCCCTTCTTCTGCTACCACTCCTTTGACCAAAACTCATTCCCAGGCATCCGCTTTGACCACCACAGAAGACCTTGCCAGCAGCTGCTCTTCCAGTACCGTTGTAGCAAATGGTAAGGATGTTGAGTTACTTTTGCCTACCAGCAGCTAGTCCCTAGGAGGGAATCCCCACGTTTGACATTCCATCAGATTTCGTCCAAGAGCTCAGACTTTTGAGTCAGATTATGTTATTTATTTTGATAGTAGCTGAAACCATCTGTATAATACATTTAGTATGTTTCACCGTTTTGTATTTTTTTAAGTAGAAACTGAGTAGTTTGGATTTGTATGGTTCACATCTTTTTACTGAAGCTAGAAAGGCACCTCAAAGATGTCTCAAGCTCAGCAGTCACCGTCATATTGTGATGAAGAAAGCTAATTGAGTACCAGGTGGTGATTTGCTATCTATTTTGGAACTAGAATCACTCAACACTCATTTTGAATTATGCAGAAGTGGTTCATGCAGATTTTTATTCCAGATGAACATGTTTTAAAAGTGCCTGAAATATGACTGCCATATGAATGTGATTCTGCAGCAAAAAACACAAAATGGACCATTTAATTGCAGGAAATGCGATCCTCTGCGAATTCTGAATGTTAAAAACCAACACTGCTTTTAATCCTCTTTTACTGTTTTAATACAAGCTTTGTGTTCTGAAAGAAGGCTGCATAACTAGAACGGGAATCCTTCTAAAGGTGGGTGTGAGCTCACCACAAAGCTGAGCTTTATAGAGCCCTTGAAAAACCCTCCTGAGCACTAAGCAGTTAGGGTGCTGATTTTCTTGTACTTTTGAAAAATTAACTCACTCCTAGTTTCCTACATAAATTCTTGAACAGAATGAAATCGCACCTCCATTCAAAAAATGTCTGAAGCATCTACTGTTGTGTAAGGAACTTCTGATTCTGATTGCTGTTACTTGAATAGGAAATGGTCACTCATTCTGTATAAAAGTTTTGCAACAGAATGAAATTTTTATTCTGTAATCAAAAAGCAATAACTTGAAATTCACTCTTTGTAATATTATAAGTCAGAATTTATATAAATTTTACCAAATTGTTACACTTATTCTCCAAGCTGCCAGAACCTGGTGTCTGTATCTGTAAAACCAAATTAACTTTTGCCTAAATGGGAAGTATACATATATCTGTATAGATACATTACCCCTTTACATGTTTAACATACACACACTTAAACACAAATATTAGTGTGATTATATCTTTGGAGTTTGCAATATAGCATAAAGGACAAGTAGAATTGCACATTAAGATTACCTACCAAAGCAACTAGATATGGCTGGGGCACAATCAAAGGAAGAATTTTGTTTACAGGAAGGTGGGGAAATTGCAGATGAATGCCAGATCTTCAGTATCAAAAAGGCAGAGCTGGCCAGGCACAGTGGCTCGTGCCTGTACTCCTAGCACTTTGGGAGGCTGAAATGGGAGGATTGCTTGAGACTAGGCATTCAAGATCAGCCTCATCCACATAGCGAGACCCCATCTGTATTAAATAAATAGAGCTAAACAAACCCTAGTGGGACAGAACTCAGCTGGTCATGGAAATGAGTGAAACAGGCCTCTCATGTGGTGTAAAACAGCTGTGAGTAGTGGGAGCTGTGGCAAACTGAAGTGCCCAAGCCCCACTTTAAAAGGGCATCTGTTCAGCTCCATCTGCTTGCTGCCATGCAAGAATGCTAGACCAGGATTACCAGTTCTTCACATTTGTTAAAAATCCAAATTTTCATGAGAAAAACTCTCATTTTTAAATATGAAGAACTGATTTTAAAATATTTAAATAGTGCTGGTTAAACAAACACTTGTGCAGCTGGATTTAGCTTGCAAGCTGCCAAGTTCCAACCTCTTTCATTCTAGAAACTTCTGTCATTTTCATCATAGCAAGTCTACGTGGACAAAAACCTCCAAACTTTCCAGCTGTGTAGGCCAGTACAGCTGACAAAGTTCATAGAATATAATGACTATCCCCCTCTGCCAAACAAGGCTATCCGTAACCCAGCTCAGACACAGTGGTTATATGATTTTGTGTCCATACAGGAGAGGCCTTGGTATCCTGACATACATTCTCCTAGCCAACATCTATCCAGCAGCCCTGACCTCCTGCTATAATTTGTCTATTTCCTTTTAATCTAATAAGTGTTGATAGGAAAAAGGCAGGTGATGGAAATCAATGTATAAATCACAATGGAGGATATTGGCGACTCCACAGCTTGTAGTTTGATAAAGGCAAATACATGAAAAATAAAAATGCTACTAATGCCCCAAGATGTCTACCACAATGATGTGGGGGTATCTTAAACTGTCCAAAGCAATCACGAATTGAACTTTATTCCTATGCAAAGCCAAAATGAATAGTGTTGATAAAATAGCTAAACTTTCTAAACTGGAGAGGAGGCTACAGTGCCAGAGAGTGATTGTCTCTTTTGCTTTACATGGTAATCTTAAAAGTTGCATTGTGCTCTTCCTTTGTTTTGGGATAGATATATCTAGAGAGAGATACTATAAGGAAGTTTATTTCTTAGGAAGTGCACTGAATAATGTATTTCTTTTACAGTGTAATATGGGGGTGGGGATATGCAAAAGAAAAGTGTATTTTTGCTAGTTGCCTATCTTCTGAGATAAATAAGCACAATCTTGCAATGGATCCAATAACCCAGTTAGTTACTATGGATTAGTATTTAAGTTTGCTGTAGGTTGTGTGTGTGTGCTAAGTAAAAGTTCCATGATTCATAATTTTAGTATTAACCCATGTTGCAAAGGCTGTTATTGGTCAACAGATTGTAATGATGTGTACCGTATAACACAAGCATTAACTAGGCATTAACATTTGTAAAGCCAAATATACCATGCAGAAGTCTTCATTTTTATAGCAGACTACATTAAAACAAGTTAAACATACTGTTGAGGGGGAAATAGTCTTGTTTGTACAAACGGGAAAATGTTGCACAATTTGGGCATATTTTGTTGGAAAGGGGGTGGCGTAGACGGAGCACTTGATTGTGGCTTTGACAGACCAGATGAAATCAATGACCCATCCAGGTTAGACCTCATAAGGAACTAAGACATTGCTTTTCTTTAGAGTCTTAAAGCTGGAAAAGGCCTTTACAGTAATCCAGTCTGTGATTTTTTTTTTTTTTAAACCATGTGGTGGTTCTGGATTTTTTTGAGAATCTTAGTAAAGCCATAGAGTTTATCCCCAGAAAAATGAATATGCCTGTGTGCAAAATTTGTCTGATGGCTTCATAGGATCCAGAGTCCCTGAAGCCATCATGGCTCATGTATTCTGCTTAAGAAAGCATAATCTTGTTCTGCCCTCTCATTTTACAGATGACTAACGCATCCCTTTTCTCCTGCTCCAGTGCTGTTGCTGCCGCAGTGTTAGCAAACGCAAGCCAGACAGAAGCACTTGAAAATCCTCCGATGTGCAAAAAATGTTCAAACAGTGTGGATGTTTACATATTTGAAGTTTCCAGCATTTAAGCCAATTAATGATCATTTCAACAAATACTAGCTATATCCGGGTCCCTTGATAGCCTGTCAGCAGTGCTGCCTTGTCAATTTGTGTGCACACATGTGTGTCTGTGTGTGTCTGTGTGTGAATTCATAAGGAGCACTTCGGATACTTAGGACTTGAAACGGAACTTCAAATGTCTTTTGAAATGCCGGCTTCAGAATAGTACGTGTTTTCCTAGCCAATCAGAGGTGAACAATGAGCATTGCTCCACAGAAATAATTTTTAATTTAATTGCTATGAAACTAGTTCAGAAATGAGATCCTGTCCAGCCACTATTTGTATGTCAGTGACCAATTCATTAGTAAAAATAAAGGAGGAGAAAGGAGACTGGGGTAGCGGTTCTCAAACTTGACTGTGCATAAGTATAACCTGGGAAGTCTGCTGAAATAAAGATTTCTAGAGATTGGATCCTCGGAATTGCTGCATCCGCTAGTCTGAGAACCATGTTTTGAGAAACAGCCGTTTGTAGCCCTTACCTGTCCTTTCACAACAACTTGCTCTTTGCCTCTGACCTAAGAAAATGTCGTAAGCTCCTGAAATTGGTTTGCCAGAATGTCAGTGATACTCAGAGTCGAGAATGCCTACTTGAGTACCAAGCACCGCACTAATGATTTCACAGATACATTACCTTACTAATCCTCACACTGGTGCTGTGAGGTATCATTATCCCCAGGTAGTGATGAGGTAGTTGAGGGCCTGAGATTTGTACATGGGCCTTTAGCATATGACAGCCAGGATTTAAACCCTAGTGCTTTGTTGTTTCACTGCCGGTATTTCCCAAATGTCAGTCTGCTAGGGCTGTTGTTAAACGTGCAGATTCCCAGGCTCTTCCCCTGCCGATTCTGATTTCAGTTGGCCAAGGGGGAGCTCTAGATAAATGCCTTGGTGATTGCTCTTAAGATAGAGCAAGTTCAGAAAATCCTGCGGGACACCCTAGAAATGGATCTTCAGACCTAACCAATGCCGGGAGACCTTCATCAGATAAATGGAACAAAAACAAAACATTATTCATTCCTTCAAACAACATGTTTTTTAAGTATCTAAGATGAATCAGAAAGCAGAGTAGTTATTAAGGAAGACACAAGTTTAATCCTGTTCCCTGCCCTTAGGGTACTCACAATCTAGCTGGAGAAGGAAAACATTAACAAAATGATATAGAGTGAGTCCAGAGACAACAGATTGATAAATAATGCAGGCGAACTTTTTAAAACCATAGAGTTATTGAAGGTGGTCCTGGTAAAAGCACTCTGGTAGCTGAGAGGTAACAGCTCTTTGTGGGCAGGAAAATGTTAACTAGAAAGGGAATCGTGTCTTCTCCTTTCTCCAGGGCATTACTTACCGGGAATTCTGTAACATGTCCTTGTGTTTGCCTTTTGTTTTAATTGACTTGTCCTGCTTCTAGGATGCGGTCAGAGACGCAGGCAAAAGACATCCCCAAGAGCTGAGTCCTGTTTCAGGGAGACCAACAGACACCAGTGAGTGATTTCTGCAAGGGCTGGGGCTAAGAATGAGCTCCCAGGCCACAGTGTTCTGCAATACATTGTCTGATAACTTGTAGGGAAGATCTAGGAACATGCAAAAGGCAGGTTGAAAAAGGACCTGGTTGCCAGAATACTGTATTACCCATCAGTGTCCTCTCCTACCCATTACCCTCTTTCACACCCTCTAAATCTCTATAAGCAAATGAGGGAAGTGCAAACTAAGCTTTGAATAGAATCTAATGAGTCCCTCTGGGACACTTGCTAGGGACTTATTTCTTCCGAAGGATGTGACAGCAGCATCTACTCTTCTCCGAATAGTGGCAGTGTTTGTTTCACTGTTACACTGGAGGAGCACAAGCAAGGAGCATGCAATATGTGGCTCTGTCCACATTGTGAAATTGTTGGCTTTGAGAAATTACTGGGAAATGTGAAAACAAGATTGGCCTTATCTCTGGAGAGTCACCTGTGTAACCTGACAAGAATCCCACTCATTAACTCAATGTGTTAGAAAGTAGGATGTGCCACGTAGGTTCCCTTTCAGGAGTGAAATTTAATTCCCTAGGTTCAGGGAATGCTGACGGTGAGAGACCCTCAGATATAACCCCTTATAGGAATTGCCTTCACCGAGAAAAATCAGCTTGACCAATTTCACACCTCCTTCCATGGACAGCTCATATATTAATACAAAGACTGGGCATGGTGGCTCACACCTGTAATCCCAGTACTTAGAGGCTGAGGCAGGCAGGTTACTTGAGGTCAGGAGTTCAAGACCAGCCTGGCCAACATGGTAAAACCCCATCTCTACTAAAAAAACAAAAAAATAGCCGGGTGTCGTGACACACACCTATAATCCTAGCTACTTAAGAGGCTGAAGCAGGAGGATCATATGAACCCAGGAGGTGGAGGTTGCAGTGAGCCAAGATTGCCCCACTGCACTTCAGCCTGGGCAAGAAAGCAAGACTCCGTCTCAAAACAAAAAATACAAAGACTGTTTTATGTTTATACTGACACTCTTGTCCCAAATTAGTAGAACTCCGAAGGTTTATCCCTGCTTCAAAACCCCCTGTAGAGCTACCTGAGACCTTTATAGAGACTATATTGCAGATCAACCTCTCCGTCTGCCCAATCCTGGTTCCATTCCCAAGTAAGCCGCCTCCACCATAATCATCTCCATCTCAGTCTACTCTGTTC